GTTAACTACCTGTCCCACCCCTACGGCATCTCTCTCGTGATACTAGCCTGATTGTCCCATTAGATGGCTGCAACTGCTTGCCACTGTTGGGGTATCCTGAAATACCTTGGGACCTCTGGTGTGTGCCACCTTTGAAATGCCATTGTGCACCTGGACAAATACTGTCAGTCCAGAGTTGCTCGACATGGTTCGTGATATTTGGCAGAGAAGAGAAAATTCATGCCCCACTTTTGGATGGTGACATGTAGCAACATATCCATATTCTTGATTGATGAGTCCTGACAACCATGACAAGCTGCCTGGCCTTATGGCCATGCTAAAAGCCAAGACACAGTAAGACAGAGATGCTGTAAGCATCCAAGTAGACAGAAAGTGAGTGAGTACTAGAAAAGCATATGAGCAGCCCTGAGACGTGCCCTTGTCCAATCCATAGGTTGGGTGCCAGTCTAAGTGCACAAAGTAACCTTACAGCAGCATTAGAATGACTGGCACTGGTGTGCTCCAAGGTGCAGAAACATACTGTCGCTGGATTGGAGGTGTGCTGGGAACATTCGAGAGACTGTATGTTGAATGCCAGCATTTGTTGATGTGTGCAGCCATTGTCAATGGAGCATGTCCTGCAATGTTGGTGGTGGCTGTCCAAGATGGAAGTCCAGGGAAGCAAGCAACATGCTGGAGTCACCGGCATCCACTCTGACTCTTGCAGTTCTTGGTGTCTAATTCCTCTCCGGTCCATGAAAGAATGGGAATCTTCATATCAATGAGGCTAGATTTGATGTTAATGAGGGTGATACTGAGCAATAATCCCCATCTGTATTAATATCATCTCATCTCAATGCCTAAAACTCTCCTGAAAAGTATGGCTTGTTGCTCCTGACACTCGGAAATGCCTCACTCTGCTTCCCGTGTGATTCTCCCAGATTTCTCCTCATCATCCTCATCGTTGAGGGCCATGTAAGATTTCACTATGTGTGATAACCAGCTACCATGTAGCCTCGTATGAGGAAATTTAGATCGCTACATGGGCAATGAAGTGACAAGTGAATGAAGAGGTAGATTTCTTACATCAATGCCTTTTGGCTGTATAATTCTGTCACTCATTTCTGTTCCGATTCAGTTCTGCTTGTGTTTCTGCTTTGAAATTACAATGGCAGTCTTTCGGCATCAAGACTGTTTTTTGTTTGCAGAGTCAGGCATGCCTAGAGTCAGCATTCATTAAAATCATTGTAGTATTCCATGGGAAACTGGTATTGAATTAGCAAATTCCCTTGAGAGTGGGAAATTTTGACTTTAATGCATTAATGTGTGGACTACTCCATGTATTGCTGATATGACAATCAAAAGGCGGAAGGAGTGGTGTGAAACTGGGACATGGAAACCAGGTACTAGGGAGAAGCAAAACAACAAACTATGAATGCTAGAGATCTGAAACACACAAAACCAGAACCTGTTGGCAAAACTCAGCGGGTCTGTGGAGAGAAAACAGCTAAAATTTCATGTCCAGGTCTTACTGAATTTGGACATGGACTGTTTCAGTATCCGAGCAATTACGAATGGTACTGAAAATTGTGCAATTGTCAGCAAACATCCCCACTTCTGACCTTACGGTGGAGGGAAGGTCATTTGATAAAGCAGCTGAAGATGGTTGGGCTTAAGACGTTACTCTGAGGAACTCCTGCAGAGATGTCCTTGAGCCGAGATGACTGACCTCCTAAAGCCACAATTATCTTCCTTTGTGCCAGGTATGACTCCCACCGGCCAAAGAGGTTTCTCTTGATCTTCTTTGACTCTAGTTTTGCTGGAACTTGTTGAAACTATACTTAGTCTAATGTTGCCTTCATCTCCAGGATAGTCACTTTCTCATCTCCTCTGGGATTTAGCTTGTTTGTCAATGTTTGAACCAAAGCTAGTATGAGGTCAGAAGCGGAGTGGCTGTGACAGAACTTGAAATGAGTCAGTGGACAAGTTATTGCTAAGCAAATCCTGTCTGATAATATTGTTGATAACCTCTTCCATTGCTTTGCATGTGATCAAGAATAAACTGCTGGGGAAATAATTGACTGAGTTAGATTTGTCCTACATTGTCTTGTGTATGGGATATTCCTGGGCAGATTTCACATTGCCGGCTAATTCCAGCGCTGCAACTGTACTGGAACAGCTTAACTAGATGCATGGCAAATTCTGGAGCACATAGAATCATAGAATCCCTACAGTACGGAAACAGGCCATTTGGGCCACCGAGTCTGCACTGACCTTTTGAACATAATCCCACCCAGACCCAGACCTCCACCCTATTCCCATAACTCTGCAATTGCTATGACTAACCCACCTGGCCTGCATATCCCTGGACACAACGGGGCAATTTAGCATGGCCAATCCACCTAACCTGCACGTATTTGGACTGAGAGGGAACTGGAGCATCTGGTGGAAACCTCAGGGAGAACATACAAACTTCACACAGACAGGTGCCCAAGGCAGGAATCGAATCTGGGTCCCTGGTACTATGAGGCAACAGCGCTAACCACTGAGCCATCGTGTCGCCCATGTTATCTTTGAATATTGGAATATTGTCAGAGCCCATAGTCTTTGAAGTAGCTAGTGCCTCCAAGTGTTTCTTGATGGCACCTGGAGTGAGTAGAATTGGCTTGAAATTGGCATCTATGGTGCTGAGGACCTCTAGAGGAGACCAAGTTGGGTCATCCACTCAGCACTTCTGGCTGAACATTGTTGCAAGTGTTTCACCCTTAGCTTCTGCACTGATGTGCTGGACTCCCTCATATTTGATTATGGCAGTTATTTGTGGAGTCTTTTCCAGTGAGTTGTTTAATTGTCCCACTCTCGTTGCTAGTTCCAACAATTTTCACTGTTGCCATTCTTTGTTAGGGCGGCATGCTGGCCCAGTGGTTAGCACTGTTGCCTCACAGCACCAAGAACCCAGGTTCAACTCCATTCTTGGGTGACTGTCTTTGTGGAGTTTGCACGTTCTCCCCGTGTCTGTGTAGGTTCCTCCAGGTGCTTCGGTTTCCTCCCACAGTCCAAAGATGCCCAGGCTAGGTGGATTGGCCATGCTAAATTGCCGATAGTGTTCAGGGATGTGGTTCAGACTAGGTGGATTATAGGGGGATGGGTTTAGGTGGGATGCTGTTAGGGTCAGTGTGGACTTGTTGGGCCGAGGGGCCTGTTTTCAAACTGTAGGGATTCTATGATTCTTTCATTCATGATTGGATGTGGCAGAACTGTAGAGCTTATATTTGATGTGTTGGTTGTGGAATCGCTTAGATCTGCCTGTCACTTGCTGCTTGTGCCATTTGACGTGCATGTAGTCCTGTATTGTAGCTTCACCAGGTTGAAGTCTATTCCATTTAGTACAGGGGTAGCTCCACGCAGTATAATGGAGGGTATCTTCAATGTGAAGACAGGATTTTGGCTCCAGAAGGACTGTGGGGGTGGTAACATGAGACAGATTCATCTGCAGCAGGCAGATTTAGGACTGAACAGCTTAGTCGTAGTAGCATTGCCAAGCCAATCTTGTTGGACATTGAAGTCCCCCACTCACAATACATTCTGCACCCTTGCTTTCCTCAGTGCTTCCATCAAATGCTGTGCAACATAGAGGAGCACTGATTCATTAGCCAAGTAGTGGCCATACATGGTAATCAGCAGATTTCCTTGCCCATGTTTGACCTGATGCCATGAAACGTTGAAGTTCGGAGTTGATGAATTCCAGGGGGATCTCTCCCATATAGGTACCACTGTGTTGCCACCTCTGCTGGGTTCTTTTGGCGGGACAGGACAAACCCAGGAACCATCCTGGGTGTTGTCTGGTGTGTTGATTCCGTGACTATAACTATATGCCAAGGCTGTTGCTTGACTCATCTGTGAGACAGTGCTGTTAGTTTTTGGAGGCAAAGGCCCTCAATTCCCAGAGGTTGCAGGAGAGCAACTGCACTTTGGGCCCCAGCTGCCTCAAGCCTTCGTGGACAGATTGGTGGCTGGATTTGGAAACATAGAAGCTAAGAGCAGGTGTAAGCCATTCAGTCCTTTGAGCCTGCTGTGCCATTCAGTATGATCATGGTTGATCCTGTATCTTGTTCATCCTCTATCTCAATGCCATATCCCTCATTTCTCTCATACCCCTTTACACCTTTAATACCAAAAAATGTATCAGTCTCTTACTTAGTGTCCCGGCCTCCATAGCGTTCTGTGGCAAAGGTTAACCACACCCTGTGTTAAGAAATGTTTCTTCATCTCAATCTTAAATGGCCAACCCCAAATACTATGACTCTGACCTAAAGTTCTGGACTCTCCAGCAGGGAAGCATCCTCCCTGCATTTAGTCTGTCAAGCTCCATTAGAATTTTATACATTTCAATCAGATTTCCTCTCATTCTTTTAAACAATGAATACAGGACCAGTTAAACCCATCACTCCTAATATAATTGAATCAGAGATAGTAGGAACTGCAGATGCTGGAGAATCCGAGACAACAAGGTGCAGGGCTGGATGAACACAGCAGGCCAAGCAGCATCATAGGAGCAGAGAGGCTGACGTTTCGAGCCTAGACCCTTCATCAGATGCTGCTTGGCCTGCTGTGTTCATCCAGCCCCACTCCTAATATAATAGTCCTTTCGTCCCAGTATCAGCTTAGTGAACTTTTGCTGCATTACCTTCCAAGGCAAGTTTATCCACTGTTAGGCAGGGAGACCAAAACTAACTCAGTTTCGATTAGTATGTGAACCTGGAGACTCCTGGTTTCTTTGGTTCAGTTGCACATTGGGCATTCCTTTACAACTGAGCTGTTAGGAAAACCTTTCAGTATCGTTTTCAGCTTTTTGATGTCACAAACAAACTTGATGCAATAAGCAGTAAAATGATTTTGATGTATGTCACTTCCCAATGATTTGTTTTATCTGGCTTTCTGTGTTAAGGAAAGTTTTTTTGCTTTTGAAAAGAGGATTTTTCTTCTGTATTGTTTTGGTTTTGTTTAGTTACAATGCTCCATAATTATTTTAATTTAAATTGCAAACATTGAACATATAGCTACAAAATCACATATGCAGTTGTCCTCCATAATTACAGATTCTATGTACTCACTAAAACTAGCAATTGTGCTTTACTGTCTTTTGGACATAGGTGGGGTCACAATTCATGCCCTGCCTGTGTCTGTTCAGATTAAGGTGAGGGTGGGTAAGCAAACTTGGTGTACACACCCCATCTGTACGATTGTAGTATTTGACCAAGTGGGTCCTGCATTGTTACCTTCCTTGTAACTCTGCTGGGTTCCTCTGTGCTTAGCAGGTGAACCAGCTAGCTTTCTTCACAAACCGTGGTGCAACTAGCTTGCTCTTTTGAAAGGTAGGTTGTTATTGCTAAAAAGGAGGCTGCACTGATATGAACTGCTGAAGTTAATGTGTAGAAAATTGAACATCAGGCAGGGAGATGGTTGCAGGTTGACAGTGTGCAGGTTACGAGATACTCATGGTTTTGCAGGATGGCAGAGATGTTCAACAATCACTCTGTGGAGGGAGTGAGAGGTGGTGATCAGGAAGGTCAATTTCAAGAGTCTGGATCTGAAGGCAGTAGTATCATAAGAGGCCTTGTAACCTGACAGACATTGATCAAGGGGAGTGAATATAAGTTCATATGACATCCTCCTGCCGCCACAACACCAGCTGTTACAACGTTTGATGTACCACAACCCCAACACTCACTCAGCAGCACTCCCTGACAATCGGGACTCATGCCTAACGTCCACATACTCCAACCTGCCCTCACGTACCTACTCATGCTATAAATTTTGCACCCACTTCTTGTTGCCTTCAGCTATTTGGCCATGGCAGGCACAAATCCATCTGCAATTCAGAGTAGTCACGTTAAACCATTTACTGTGTTTTTTGAATAATCATAATGTATATATTGGACAATAATTTTAAGTATTGTTTACAATCATCAGAACTAATTATTTTATTATAGGTTTAAAACCTTAGTGATTATTGAGATTCAGTTTCAAATTGTTGCTTTGATAACTACTTAAAATAGGGTGTAAAATTTATATTGGCTGAATTCCTAGGAAGAAGGAAAGTTTCAGTTGTAAAAATCAATTTTTCCTTTTCATAGTTTATCTATTCAAGGAACTCTGGGCTTCACTGGTTGGGTATGCATTTGTTGCCCATCCCTAATTGCTCTTGAAAAGGTGGTTTTGAGCTGCTATAGTCCTTAAGGCATAACTCGTACTGCTGTTATCAGTCATTGCTGGTGTCAGCTGTAAGGAGCTGGGGCATTTTGCTTAAAGAACAAATTGTAATATAAATAAATTGTGATGTAATGTAACATGAAGATGTAACTAAAACATTACTTTCATACAGACAATGAAATGATTGCTTTATAGAATATGAATTATAATTGCATCCTGGTTATTTTACCTTCTTACCGTTGACAGTGGCTTTTCTAAATATCACACTTTTGCCAACAAGTTTATACTGTAAAACAGCAAGCTTTGTTATTTTCCTCCAGGCCAGCTGTCACAAGATGGAAGTCAATTTAACTATCCCCAGAATGTCTTGATGTTTCACAAGAGGGCAAAACAGAAGTATGGCCAGAGACAACAGAAGGATTTTCCAAAAAGAACCAAAGTACCTTTTACTAGCTCCACAGTTCCAAAGAAAGGATCAGTTGTAGCATCTCTATCACTGAATCATCAAGAGGGTGATGATGAAAAAGCTCGGTTTGAAGCTGCACAAACTCTGCTGGATATCTTTAAAGTTAATTCAAGCTATGAAGGTGTTCAAATGACCACTGTTTGTGAAGCACTGCAGCAAATAAATGAAAAACTAAATACAGAAATTGCTGGGTTGAAAGATGAGCATCGGTATCTAAAGGCAGAATATAATCAAATCAGTGGGGAGCTGAAAAGATTTAAAGATGGTGAATCCAAATGTTGCACTCAATTTCCAACATATTCAACAATTCCACGGCTGCAGACCAAAGTAAGTTCTGAACTTGAAAAAGATTTTGTTTATGTACAATGCAGCGTAAAACTGCCTCTATTTCATTCACTTTATTAATTTACTGTTTATTAATTCTGGCTTTGGCTGGCGCTGTATTTAAGGTTTAAGAACTTTGAGTGCGTTGCTGTTACCAAGAAACCAAACAACAAATTGAATGTCACCTAGACGGCAAAAACTGGAACAAGGGTGAAAACATTAAACATTTGATATGCAAACATAGGATAGTAATAAGTAGATAGGGAGAAATCACAGGGCAAATACTAAGGTAGCACTATTTAGTAAGAAGCAGTAGTGAAACCGTAAAAACATACCTGAGGATGGAGGTGATAAGCATTGGATTTCTAATCAAAGTGAGACAGATAAAGCAGAAAACTCCCAAAATAAATCACAGGAAAAGCTGGTTTGAATGAAAAACAATAAAATGAAGTAATTTTCATATATTTGCTGACATAGCTTACTGAGAAATAATGGTTTTACTGTAGAGCTCAACAGAGGACAAATTTATGAATAAAATATACGTCCTGTTCTACTTTAATCATTTAATAAAGTGCTGTATGGCTCAATGAAGTTCAGTTTAAGCGCTGCATTAGAATCCTTCTACCTTCCATGATTGGACCACAAACATCACTAAAGTGTTGATCACAGTGAATGATTCCAGGGCTTGAGGCAGCATACTTGACTACAACAATACCTTCGTCGGTACAGTGTCACAAATGTTTATCCAGTGGTGTAAGTATTGAACATATTATTAAACTGTTGTAAAGGATGAAGAATCTCTCCATTTCTGCTCAAGCAGTTATCACAGTATGTTGACACCTGCAGCATTGTTTTTTCTCTAACTGGAAGGAACATTATGTTTCCAGGATGATTGGCTGCTAACAGTCAACAGAAAATTGCTCACCTGCTTTTTCACTATTTCCAGTTTCCATGTTAAAAATATGGCTTTATGCTGTTTGTTGTAAGACTGAACTCTGCTTTTGTTTGTACATTAAATATTTTGTTGACACTTAATAAAGCTGAGAAGACAGTGACGATCTTTTAATGAATTGCAGCATACCAGTACCAATGCAAGGCTGGTTGTGAGGCTGACCAGGCTCCTGAGTTTCACTGAGTGAATCACTTGTTGCTTAATTTTGCTGGATTGGTGAGAAATACCAGCACCACTCATGGACATGTTATCATCTCCAAGATACATTGTAACTTTTAATCATTTTATCTTCACCATAGTTATCCCTGGATGAAACATACTAGTGCCAAGTGGGTAAGCATTAACGCTGACTGTTTAGGATTATAAATCACTGCCTGGATTATCTGACATTTCATTGTTTATTTTCAGGCTTTCTGTTGGAAGGTACTGCAGGTTTTGTCAAGAAATTTAATCTGCCGCTGCTGGTATTTGCTGGCAGTGAGTGGGTGATTTGACATCTGGGGACAATTTGTAGGAAACCTTGTCAGGTGTTCGCGCAGACTTCTGGGGATTGTCCTTGTCCCAGTAAAGGAATCTAGCATTGGGAAGTTGGGGCAGCAGGAAGCCATCAGCTTTTATATTGAACCTTTCCCTCCCTTTCCCTCATTCTGACTGGTCCTCCTTGCCCTTGGCGACAGTCTCGCCCACACAGACCAAATGTGGAGAATCCATTGTCGATCCTCTAGGTAGTTCCAGTTCATTACTGGGCAATTTCCCAAAGGCACAGAGTTCTTTGGTGAGGGGGTCATGCCAAGACCTGCGTCTTGAGCTCCAGGAAACTGACGGTGGTGTCCTGAGTCTGGCGTTACTCCAAGTGGCACTTCTGTTACTGCAAAGCTGTGAGCCTGCAGTTGGCTTGCAGCTCTGAGTAGCATTTCTGACCTAGAGGTGCTTTCGTTCAGTGGGAGACCTAACACTATCCAGGACAGTGTGGAACGCCAAAAGGATATTGACTCGGTGAAGTGGGCTCATAGGTGGCTGATAAGGTTCAATGTACAGAAGTGTGAGGTGATGCACTTTGGTAGAAATAAAATTAAAAGCCAATAAAAAAGGGGTATAATTCAAAGAGGGTGCAGGAGTAGACAAACCTTGGTGTATCTATGCACAGATCATTGAGGGTGGCTGAACAGGTAGAGCGAGCAGTGAAAACGTATCGAATATCTTTGGCTTTATTAATAGGGGCACAGAGTACAAGAGCCAGGAGATGATATTGATCCTGCTTATGACACTTTTCAAACCTCAGCTCTGGAGTATTGTGGACAATTCTAGGCGCAACATTATAGGAAAGATGTGAATACATTGGAGAGAGTGCAAAAGTAATTTAAAAAAGTGGTGCCAAGAATGAGAAACTTCAATATGAGGTTAGATTGAAGAAGCTGGGACTGTTCTCATTGAAGGGAAGAAGACTGAGATTTAATGGAGGTTTTCAAAAACATGAACAAGCTGGATATAATAGATTAGGAGAAGCTGTTCCCATTCACAGCAGGAACACAAACGAGAGGGCATTGGTTTAAAGAGATTTGCAAAAGAAGTAAAGATGTGAGGAAAAGCTTTTTCACACAGTGAATTGCTAGGGCAGTGGTTCCCGATCTTTTCAGTGATGTGGCACACTTCAATGAAGGAAACAATTCTATGCCACGCCTACATTTTTAGGCTGAAATCATTGCTCACAAACATTACATTTACTTGCATTTACTATGGTTACAGTCTTACTAGAGAGGTTTGCAACATAGAGCATACAAGCTAAAGAAGGATCAAATGCATGTTTCCAATTTGTTTACATTGATTTTCATCAACCTTTGTATGAAATGTCACGGCATGCATGGACAGCTCTCACAGTACATCAGAGTGCTGTGTCACCTGGTTATAAATCAGAGTTAGGGTACCGAATGCATTGCCAGGAATTGTAGTGGAGGTAGGTTCAATTGAGACATTGAGGAGGACATCGGATGATTATTTGGCTAGAAATAGTGTGCAAGGAGATGGGCAATTGGTACTAATACTCAAACAAAAACAGAAATTGTCTGGCAGCGTCTGTAGGGAGAAAGCAGAGTTTACATTATGTGTCCAGTGACTCCACATCAGAACTGGTTATAATGAAGAGTCACTGGATTCAAAACATTAGCTCTGCTTTCTCCCAGCTGATACTGCCAGACCTGCTGAGTTTCTCCAACAATTCCTGTTTTTGTTTCAGATCTCCAGCATCTATTGTTCTTTATTTTAAGGATAATGATCGTTTGAAGAGCCAGGAGAGACACAATGGGCTGAATGGCCTTGTGTGCTGATAATTATTCTGTCAGTTAAGTGCCAGATTAGTTTGGAATTGCGGTGGAGCTCCAATCAGTTCTTTAATGATGGGTGGGATCCATTTTATTGCCAGTAAATTCCATCCAGGGTTAAAGAAGCTGGGATTTTGTCTTTGGAGAAAAGGAGATGAAGGAAATATTTGATACAGTGTAAAAGATTATGAAAAAATTTAGATGAGGTGGACAGAAAAAGCTGTTCCCATTAGCTGATGGTACAAGGAGACTCAGATTTAATATTACACGCAAGCGATGTAGGGATGATATGAGAGAGTAGTATTATAGAATGAGTGATAGTAACCTAGAAATCATGTGTGACAGTGAACAATTTCAAAAGGAAAATGGATCAACACTAGTGGGTAATAGCCTTGTAGGGCTGTGGCAATGGAGCAGGGAAGTGGGACTAATTAGATTGCTCTACAGAAAGCCAGCATTCAGCTGATGAGCTGAATGGCCGTCTTCTGGTTTATGCTGTGCTGGGTGGTTGATATTAGCCTTCATTAATTCCTAGCCCCTGTGGCAATTGGTAAATATTCACCTTGTAAAATTTCCCAAAGACACAATATTTTAGGAAACCAACACAAAACCTTGATCTAGAACTCCAGGAAACTAAAAGTGGTGACCTGATCCTGGTGTAATTTACTCCTAGCCTAATTTAACTCTTCTGCTGTGCTCCTGGTTGACATTAGCTGTGAATGTGTAATAGTGGGGACAATGTAAGGTTTTGTGGCATTCCCATGAAGCCAAATAGATGAAAATTTCTGCCTTTAGGATCTTTTAATCTGGGTTCTCTGAACTTTCCTATTTGAATGCCAGTGGAAACCAGCATTGTTAAATAGAGAGGCCCACCAAGCAATCTGGCTGAATTTAAATCTAGGTTTCACAAAGAAAAATAGATCTGTATTAGGCACCACTTCATTGACTCATCCGCTCTCTTTAAAATTCGATGTTACTCATTACTACATTGTGTAGGATACGACTTTCAGCATCATTGAGTTGACAAGTATAAATCATTTTTATTCACAATGTTGGAACAGCAGATATTTTGCTTGACAAAATAAACCGGTGCACACTTGCATGAAGTTAACCCATGCAAGAATATTATATGAGTGACGCAAATGTCTAATCATGATCTTTGTTTTTGATCCTTTACTTAGGCTTCAGCTGAATGTAGCCCAGATCAGCCTAGTGTTTACCCAGACAGACATACTGACTGGAGTATTAAAACAAGAGTCCTGATTACCTCACCTACTCCATTCTCCTGGGCAAAATCAAGTATCAAATTGTTATCAGGAATGGGATCCATTCACAGAACAACAATAAAAGCCGATGATTTTTATATTAAACAGGTGAGGCCTTTATGTGGAAAAAAGTGTTGGCACCAATCGCAATACTGTATAGTAATCTACCTGTTTTGTTTTTAACCAATCTTGTTACAAAGACTCTCAATGTTGAGAAATTAGTAAAGGGAACAGTGTTCTATCCCACCATTTGAATTGCTTTATATAACCATTAATTAAAATGGAAGTGTTTGAAAATCATCAATAGCATGTTAACCTAGTCAATAAAAAAAAACTGCTACTTCTGTCTTTCCTTTTTGTTTGTGTTATCCATATGACAGTTGTTTAGCACTTTTCTAGAGAGTCACCCTTCACTTTTTATGGTTTACAATGTTACTTGTCACTATTCTGAAAATATATACAGTTGTATGCAGCAACTTGAGTAGGAATTGGAAGAAATTACATGCATTTATATAAGTCTTTACTTGTCTTCAGGATGTTCATTTCATTTAACTTCCAATAAATTACAAAGGGAGATGATGATGGAAGTATTTCTTGAAAGGACTAAGAATCAACATTTTCGTTTGCACACCTGCTTGCAATTTAATGTGCACAAAGGTTTTGCTAAAAAGGAATATTTTAACTTTTTGAAAACGTTGAAGTAATCCCAAAGTTATTTGTGCTGGATAAGCCATCATCTAACTCATAAATTCTTACCTCCATGGTAAATTAAGTAAGGAGGTTAAAACACTGTGCTAAACTAAAGATGAAGCAGGAGCACTCTTGAGTTTTCTTTGGTGAAGTATCAGCTTTGTCAAGATTTTTGGAGGATTTAATGGTGTGAGGCCTAGTGAGATCACTCACTGTATCTCACCAAACTTGGCTCATTAGCTACCGACCCCACCACTATTGCGTCCTGTATGTATAATTCTAGGCCCATTTTACCACACATCAATTCCCTGAAGAACTTCCCACTCTCCAGTTATCCGCCAAAAGATGAGCATCCCTGGTGCCTGAGCCATGTTTTGGAAGACTACTGTGTACCCAAATGAGCACTGGCATTCCGTAATTGCCCTGTTCAGTGACGGACGTTCTGTCAGAAGATGTCAAGAAACGGAAGTCGGCATTTTGATTCTGTGACAAGGTCCTGGTGGATAGGGTAGTGCGGAGGAGGGACTTCTTCCTGGACGAATGGCAGCTGAGCTTAGTCTGAGGTCGCCATTGGTCAGTACTGTGTCCACAGTCCATAGGAACGGCTAGTAATGCTTCAAGAAGGTCAGTGACTTCCTGCACTCAGCTAGGGTAAGTGCCACACTCTTCTCTCTGATACCTCTAACTCACTCTAGGTTTGTTTCTGTACCCTTCTCCCAACAAAGCTCATAAACTACCACATTCTCTATTGCCTGCAAAGTCTTCCTTCACTTGCTGCCCCACACCCCCACACACTAACAGTTGTGCCACTCACTTTCACCTCACTTAGCCTTTCTCTGACGCTCATTTCAGGAGAAGACAGTTCACAATAGGGTACATAGTGCCCACAGCAGTGGAGGGGTGCCCAACATCAAGTGCTTCACCACCCCTGTGAGAAGAGAATCCTAGCTGTAGTAGGCGAAGACTGAGACTGCATCTATGGATTGCAGAGACATCCATGTCCCACCAACTGAAGAAATACCATTCTTCATTCCGCTGCAACTCAGTGTCATTCATTTGCTCACAATTATAACCAATGGCTGCTACACATTCTCTCCCTTGTGTCTTGCAGTCTGCAGCCTCAGTGAGAAACTGCCTGATCCATCAGAACCACCTCCTTGACCCCAGAAGACAGGAATACTGAAGCCTCAGCTGCAGCATTGATAAAGCTGCTTCCTGTGCCCCACCTGCTCAGGTATTGACTCCTTGGTGGGAAGGTTATGCTTAGAAGGTTTGGGAGCGCAATCTGGTGAGCATTCCACTTGTAATAGCTCTCTAGCTGGCCAAGGAAGAAACATTCCAGGCCTCTGGCACTTTGAAGATGCCAGAGACCAGGTATCTACTCAGCCCTATGCAGGAGAGGACCCTGTGGTATGAGCAGTTAGAGACTACATGAACTTGGAGGAAAGGGAGCGGCAGGCCGGTATGGGGAGGTGATGGACCTCATTACCCAGAGGCTGCAGGAAAGCAGCTACAACATGGGGACCCAGCTGCCTCAGGCATGTGATTATCGGTCTGCCTTCATGGACAGGTTGGCAGCTGCCATAGAAAGCCAGCTCCAGCATCCTCAGTGTCTTCTGGAGAGGCATATGCACTCCATCCTCCCAGCCATTGGTCCTCAGGACTGAAGCCATGGAGACAGGACGATAGGAAATCTCGTGAGAATGCAATGTGCCCCTTCCTCACAAGGAGTCAGGGCTGTGCCAGGAAGCACCCAACTGGACAATCTTCTCTGGACAATCGATAGTTGATGATCCCTCCACCTTAATAAAGGAAAGAAGAAATTGGAATAACTAAACTCTATTGGAAATCTTAACAGAATAATAGATTATTTTAACTACTAAACAGTAACTTCCAATATAATAACATCCCATAAACACACTCTTGGCAAAGGTAAATTCAATAAAACAGATTGTTTCACATGCAATTCAATAGCAGGAAGAGAACCTGCAGCTTTTAGCTGTAACTGAGAGAGGAAAAACAGCTTCCAGCTTCAAGATTCCAGCAACTGTGACTGAAAAAACTAAAACTAAAAATACTGGTTCTGTGGGAGCTTGTCCCACCCATTCAGGCTGCTTCTATTGTTCCTACCTTTTTTAAAAAAAAAAAGTCCTCACAAGCTGTTTATTTATGCATCTCAATAAACAGCTCTACACCTCTGTCTTAAAACCTTTCTTCATTTTAAAAAAAAGGACAAAATACACCTCTTAAAGTCATTGTATCGTCACATAAATATACTCATTTGCTTTTCCTTGTGAAACTTTTAATTTATTGCAACAAATTACATCCACTGAGTTCAAACCTTAAACAGCAATATGTCTTCTAATTTTCTTTAACTCAACATTCATTCCCTGAACATAGTTTAACTTTGGAAAGGCAGAAACTGTAATTGTATGCTTTACTAAGCTCAAGTACATACTGTGTGAACACATCCAATATCTATACATTTTACTGAAATCCTGGCCATCACTCTAGTGTGTTTGTATGTAAATCCATGGTTACCACCTTTTTGAATTATTGATAATTTGCATCAGGATTGATTTTAGTATGATTTATTTTAAAAATATTTCTCAGAGGGAAAGGTTAACTTAATTTTTAGGCCCAGGAAAGGGAAGGTAGAAAAAATTTTGTCACTATATTAGAGGACTACACTCCTATAATCTTTAGTCTATTGCAGTGCTAAAATAGATTTTAAAAAAGGGTTGATTTAATCTCCCAGTGGAAGTTGTTTGATCATAGTTGTTCATAATGTGAGACCTGAGAGATTTTATGTCCTTGGCTTCGCATACCTAGGCCCTGTCTGTCTTCTCCTAAATGGACTAGGAAGCATTATCTGTCTTGTGAACAAGTATAAGGCTTCAGGAAGCCGGAGGTAACTTGCAGCAACCTAAAGAAGTGGAAACTGGGAGATGGGAAAGACAAGTGATTCTGTAAAAAGTGGCCAGGCCCTCCACCTCTACCCTGCCTGTCCCCGTCCAACCTTTGGAAATTCAAGTTGAGGAGAATCCACTCCCCCCTGGCAGAAGTCCCTCGCCATATCTGCGTCATCCAGATGCACACACCTGGATTGCATGACTAAGTCTCTACTGTCAGCAGGATCCCTCAGACATGGCTGAAGAATGTGGGACAACACTAAGACATATTAGGAGAGAAAGAAGGAAGCAGACCTTTTGAAAATGCTTTGGTGTCAGAGGTGACAGCTCCATGTATATGAGGTTTCACATTTGTGTAAGTTTGATTTGTTTCTGTGTTGGCTCAGAGAAGTACCTTGACTCGTTTGCCTCAAAAAGAAATGGTGAAAAGTTAAACTCACCTTTCTGGAGTCTTCTGACTCCGCTCCTGTTGCTACTGGGTTGGTCTGATAAGGATGCGTCAACAGCTTCCCCACACAAGCTAGAGGTTAAAATTACATGGACAATAATAGGATATTAGAAAATATTGTAGAAATGTAACAGTTTACAAAATATTTAGACCGGATTTTTTTTTGAGTTCTGTGAGGTTAATTGGAAATGGGGACTGTTTCCTCATTTTCAAAACTAGTGACCATATTGACTCCTTTTTAATAACAATTTTCAAATTAGGTCTCCCTGTCATTATCCTGATGGTGCATCTCAGTGATATCTCTGAACTGTCTTGTAAAAACTGCACACTACATTCATAAACCAGGTTCTGTGCTGAGCATGATAGGATCACTCCAATACTGGGATGGGACTTCTGCATAGCTTCAATTAAAGTTACAGTTATCTCTCTGCATTCCACTTTGTGCTAAAGAGTGTTTAGTGTTTGTGTTTGCAAATTCTACATCTCCAAGGGATCATGCCCTGCAGATTGATTACCAGTCAATTTTTAATGAGGTCTCCAGAAATTTAGTTTAACTTTGCCCTCCCTTCATGCATAAATTGCATCCTCTAGTTCTGCTGATTTGGACAAGGTGAAAACCTGTAGCTCTGTTATGGTCCAAGCTTTGTTCTTTTTTAGAATCTTGAAAATAGTGATTAGGTCATTAAATTAGATTATTCTGGCAAGAATATTATGCTCACTCTTTGTAACAGTGCTCATCATTCAAATCCTCAATACCCTCAATCATTCTGTTTACTTTCATCTGCATTCTTTCAGGAGCTGCAATATCCTTTCACTAAAGCTATGACAGGAACAGTTTGGCAACGATCACATTTAGAATGTGATAATCCTTTATAAAGCAGCAGGATTATCTCAATATTTGGTACAATATTAAACTTTTAGTAGATCCTAACATTTGGTTTGTTTTAATGACAACCACCGAACATTGTTGTGTTGGTTTATATTTATTGTCCGTCAAGATCCCCCGATCGCTTTCATTTTACTAGCACATTATTTTCTTTGCATTAAGTTATAGTCTCGCGTAGCATTTTTGTCCTTGTACAAAGCTTTGAATTTCCCTTTATTGGAGTTAGGTGAAAATAATTTTCAATGGAATAGAAGTAACCTTTGCTTGACACTATTGAGTTGAGAATTCTGAGAGTTGGAGACTAGATTAAAATTCATAAATAATTTTTACTCAAAAATGAAATTGCTATACATAACTGAGGAGTTTTGGATAAATCTGGTAATTATGGCTATCCTTTAGTATCTGCAGATAAAATAAGTATTAACAACAGTTGGATTCATACAGAAAATGAGAAATTCTGGCCTTTTGTTTGTGCACCAAACACTTCAACTTCCACTTAGTACAATTTTATAAATGGCCTGTTTGTTGTGCTGCATTTTTACTGCAAAATTTACTGACTTGGTTATTCTTAATTAGTTCTGGTTAAAAATATCCTGACATTTTTGGCCTGTTTTACTGTGAACTAATAATAAAAATCACACAGAAATATCTTTTGCTTTTTGTTTCCACAGAGCAAAATAAGTATTTTATTTTGACATTGTTTATTTACCTATTCAGGAACCCGATGATAGCCCTACTTTAAAATGTGCCTTCCAGCAGAGTCTGAGATACTGGATGTATCCCAGGCTACCCTGGCTGCAACTTTTTCCAAGAATTGGTGTTGATAGTGTATCAGTTGATGATGGTTTACAGTGGTCCCCGGATTACAAGATACAGAATATTTTAATGAAAGACTGGTAAGTCAATAGTAGCGAACTGAGAAATAACATTTTGGTAAAAGACTGAAGCCCAGATTTTTGTTTTTGAAAAAATGCTTCTATGTCTTTGCATTGTCATCTTTAGTTTTCGAAGATTCTGCTGTTCTGTGAATGAAATGCACGAGGTTTAAAAAATCCATAAAAAAACCCATCTCCATGACAATATAGGCTGCTCTGGGCATCCCTAAAATTTTTTTAAAGTGAAGGTTAGGATAGTTACTGCTTTAAGATTGAACAAGTTTCTACTTTACATATGTTATTGTGGTTCTGTCTCTTTGTGTATATAAACTGTTTGAGTCTCCTTTAGATCTGTGCAGTTCTGAATTAAGCTTACATTCAATATGTTGTTTTGTCCTTTAAAATGCCTCAACCAAGTGTTACCCTACACAAAGCTCCCACCTTGCTATAAACCTATATGCCCTTCTACAAGTCTATCTAGTTGTCTAATTAGTTTCTGTAGTAATGGGCACACCACATGCAGTGAATTCCTTCTCCTGAATTAATGAAGTACAAAGGTCCCCCAATGTAGTAAATTGAAATATTGGGGGGAAAATCCTCTGGTCCATCCAATTGGTCTGAGGCAACAACTCTAGCACCACATTCCTATGCCACCCAAAAATCAAGTTTCTATTTTGTGATCTGAAGTAGAAATCATATTTTCAGTGCTTATCAGACTTAGTGCTGTAAGCACAGCAAGTTTGTGGTATTTATAAATTAATCTTCTACATGCAATTAAAGTAACAATTTAATTTAAAATTGTTGATGTAAATGCAAATAAATGTAAAATCATCATCTTTTTAAAGCTTGTTTGTGTTTTTCACTTACTGAAATAATAAAATCTATTCTAGGTTGTCATCCTGTAGCTCGCTCTTTGACCTCCTACAGTCCGGACATTGCCCTTTCTTTTACATCTGTACATACCAATTCACAGTGCTTTTCAAGGCTGCTCAGGAATCCAGAAGAGAATCAATTTCTGCCTTGTTGTACCCAGCAAATGTGGAAGTTTTAGAAGCAATGAGATTGTCAGGTAAATGATTTCTAGTGCATAATCCTTTTTGAATTGGGCGTAATAGTTATGAAATAATAATACTCTCTTGGGGTTGAATAGTACTAATAATGAAGTTCTGAATGTAAAGTATTGAAAAAAATCTTTGCTCTTATGAATGTTTGTAATGCATGCTTGCCAACATGATTTTGCATGATAATTTTGATCTTTTGCACCATTTTGTTATGATCTGCTTAGGGATTGCTCACATTTAAAAAGAAATCTGAGTGCGTTATTTTAGCAAATAGAATTATGCCGCAAGATTGCACCTTTTGAACCATTTTTAACAAAACAATTTAAATAGAATAATTATTCAAAACAAACACTATTAACTTATGGTTTATGGCTATATTATGCATACGGGTTTACTTTCCTACTTCCATCCAAGAAACATTTCTTGTAAAAGACGGCAATCTTTAAGTTATTTGCTTCCTAGAGGCTATTTGTAAGTATGCCACAGTCTTCTGGAGAATTCTCCTCCGCATCAGCTGTTACTGGAAGTAAAACTTTTGTCCACTATCTCTTGGCTGTAGATATCCAGCCCCTTATTATGATTCCTTTTCAATACTTCCACACCTCCGTTTTCATTAAGACACTGTTAAACATAAAATTGATTCTTTCACTAGCCTCAAATTATACAACCTTCCAACTTCTGTTACTCACAAGTTGTAAGCTGAAATTAAGCATTATCCGTATTTTACACAGTGAATGATGCTTTTAGGGTCTTACTGCACTTCCAGTGTAGCTCTGTTGAATGGTGATTTACTTTTGCTATCTTCTCTCAAGGATCTGCAAATCACAAGATTCAAACTGCAACTAAAACCTCTCCTTGCAAACACCCAGCTAAATTGAAACCAGAGCAGCTTCCTAAACGGCACCCATCTCCATGACAATATAGGCTGCTCTGGGCATCCCTAAAATGACCTATAGTTTTTATCATTTGCAATTGATTCTAATATCTAATGAAGTTAAATGAGCTTTACAGACTTTTGGGATTTACTGAATGCTTTTAAAGTAGTTAGGTATCTCTGTAAATAACATTTATTTATGCAAGCATTGTAGTCATTACACCCCCAGTTCTTTCGCCAACAAGCCACCTGCTGTTTTATAGCTCTCTTCAAACCTTTTAACCTACAACCTAAAAGTTATATTCAAAAACACATGAATCTTGAACTAGATATTTTGACAATTTAGCTGTGACTGAAACAATTATGTAAAAATGACAGAAATGTAGGTACGGAAGATTTGCAAAAGCTAAAATAATAGAGAAATAATACATCATTGACAAAATGCTTCCTTATAAATGGCAGAAATATTAAATATTGATATTTTGAAATTCTATAGCTTTGAGGAGATGAATGAGTTAAATGATTCAATAGTATTTTTTGATTTTTGTTTTGAAACAAAATCTTTTTGTCATTGAATGTATTTTGTGTTTTGCAGAAGTTGTGTTCTCAACATATTTAGTTGAGAATTCTCAGGAAAATGTTCATGTGAACCTTTCTTCACCAGATGGATGTGGGTCAGTACATCTTACACCAGCTCATTTGTAAGTAGCCCAACGTAACAGGTTTTTTTCCTGAAATTCCTTTAACAATGTATGGGATAATTGCTGCCCCTGATATAGCTACTATAAATTAGCAGATAGCAATGTGTTGAGGCCAAAAAAAAAGTTTCAGTTTTTGTCTTTCTCCTGACCTAGAATATGAACAACACCTCTTTTCAATTGCCCGTACATGTAAAAGAACCAAATTAGAGGGCTGGGTTTTACATGCCTTCGTGCCATAGATGGTAGAGAGGTGATCTGACTTAAACATACAACAACAGACACAGTTTCAGGATTAGGGGCCATTCATTTAAGACTGAGATGAGGGGAAATGTCTTGACTCAAAGGGTTGTGCATCTTTGAAATACTTTACCTTACAGGGTTGTGGGTGCTTCGTCACTTAATATAGTTTAGGCTGAAAAATGCAGATTTTTGGTCTCTCAGGAAATCAAAGAATATGGGGAGTAGATGAGAAAGTAGAGTTGAAGCCCAAAATCAACCATGATGACATTAAGTGGCAGAGGAGGCTTAATGGGCCATATGGTCTACTCCTGCTCTTCTACTTTGTTAAGTCTGGGTCTGGTACAAAATTTGAGAGGAGTAATTTTCCAATTTAGGAGTTCCACTGCAGAACTTTGTATTATGTGAACTTGTGTCAGGAATATAAGCATGGAGCCACTTGTTTGATTCATGTCCATTTTCTGTCCATTATAGCTACTAACAGCTGTGTGGGAAGGCTAACCAGCATTTACAGATGGTGTTGTGACACAGGGATAGCAAGCCAAACTAATCATCCTCCCTATTACTGGATTCACAACATGGTGAAATTAAAGTATTTAGTGACTCAGAATTGCTCAATTTTTCCTAACTGGATTTTACAAATAACATGTCTTGGACACCAAGTTTAGAACTCACTATTTGTTAGCAAACAGTCTATTATTAACACTAACTTTAGCAGACCACAACCTACAAGGCAATGTAATTAAATCTGCGATCTGAACCCAATCTCTCACGAGCAGATAGTTAAGGGATAAATTAAAAAAGAAAAAAATCCATAATTTTCCAGTTTCAACAATGAATGCTAGACCTTCATGAAGTCTTTTAACGATGGGTTGTGCTTTTAATAGGTAAGATTGTAAATATTGCTTGAATTTCAAAGTCACTGGTCAATGCAAACAACTTCCACAGACCTCTGGTGACTATATTTATTTCTTACAGATTGGGGTTCTTATCTCAGAACTTTCAACAAGTCATAACAAGAAAAATTAGAGCAAAAACCAAGAAAAAACTTCCATGTCTGGCAGCTTTCAGAGCAAAAAATTGCCTCCTGTCCAAAATCCCAGAGCCAGTTCATTCTTTGTTCTTTCTTTTTCAGCTTTATGTGCTTGGCTGGCCAGCATCTGACCTACCTTGATTGACCAATTCAACATCCAACCAGCTGCCAGTCTCTGATCATAATAACATCTTAGTGCCAAATCATCTAGAGTGTTCTTAGAGCAGTAATTAATTTGCATTATCTTTTCAGGCCTGTTCCCAAAAGGCAACATCAGTCTTTTGTTCATTCTTTATATAACAAGGTGCTATTCAAACTTCTCTTCTCAACTTCAACTCACAGTTCCAAACCAAAAATGAGGACAATAAAAGAAAAAATGGTAATGGTCTCAACAATGGCTGTTACATGATATTAGCATTTGGTATTATGTTTTGAACAACAGCAATTTTCAGGTGGTATTCTTCAAATTGGAAGGCAATATTTTTATCTTTCTTCTAATCATAAAGGAGAGACAGATTCGTCTATAAAGATTGGTCTTCTTTAGTCATGCACGGGTAGACGTAACACAGCCACATGACTATTGCCAAATAGCCAAGAGTGGCAAACAGCAGGTAGAGTGGTAGGCACAAGATGAGTCTACAATTTCTATATAACATTTACTTAAACAGCTCCAAGGAATGAAAGACTGGGTGCATACTGCTGGAAACTGAATGTTTAGCTTCTAGATAATTTACCTAGCAATTTAATTCATTGGCCAGATATACAATGTAATATTTCATTTTTTTAATAGAAATTATATCAAAAACATTAAAAAAACGATTGACTCACGCGCACAGAAGTCTTTTCCGCCCATAAAGACAGAACCTCAGGAAGAAATTCCAACAGCTGAATCATCCGAATGCTTTCTGTATCCTTTCAACTTTACAGATGCCAGAATTCCTGATGAGCACAGTTTAGAAAATAATTGAAAGTGAAACAGAATAAATTATTCATTAAACTCTCTAATACACGTAGAGAATGAAGGGTGGAACTTCATTTTCTTCAGAGAGAGTCCCCAAGCTTGAAGCTACTTTTCTCAGAGCGGAAATTGCTTGCTCACTGCTAGGACCTTCTGTCATTCATGCTGGTGACACCATATTTAAAGCTGGTGACACCAGTGGCACAACATTTCAGATGCTGCAAACCAGGAATGACCAATCCATCACGTTGTGCTGCTTGAGTCCCTACATTCATGTCAAGAACCTTAAGGTGCTGGTGGATGTGGTGATGGAAAGGAGTACTGTCCTTTATCCAGCTGACTGTCACAGGAGTCCACGGTACCTTACACAGCAAGTCTTTACACAGATTGCAGGACGGTCAGTGATGTGTCCTGAGTAAAAAGGAACGACCAGCAGTACAAGAAAGTCAGTGATCTTATTCTCTCCCCAAACGGTAAGTGCTGCCTTCTCTCTGCTACTTACATTCACAGGGCCACTACACCTTTGCTATTACATGCGTCATATCCATTCAACAGCTCTTGACCTTTTCTTGGGAAATAAGGCATGGCAAATGACTGAGGTGTTTGTGAGCAGCACTTTGGTTCTAGTGGCCATAATTCTATTAGTTTTAAAATTCTTAAGGAAAAGGATAGATGTTATATAAAAATTAAAGTTCTAAATTGTAGCAAGGTCAATTTTGACGGTATTAGACAGGAACTTTACAAAGTTGATTCGGGTAGGCTGTTCACAGACAAAGGGATGACTGGCAAGTCGGAGGCTTTCAAAAGTAAGACAACAAGAGTTCAGAGACAGTATGTTCCTGTTAGAGTGAAGGGCAAGGTTGTCAGTAGTAGGGAACATTGGATGACTTGAGATATTGAGACTCTGGTCAAGAAAAGGGAGACATATGTCAGGTATAGACAGCTATGATCAAGTGACTCCCTTGAGGAGTATAAGGTGAGGTGGAGCACACTTAAGAGGGAAATCAGAAGGGCAAAAAGCATATGAGATATCTATGGCAGATAAGGTTAAGGAGAATCTAAAGAGATTCTACAAATACATTAAGGGTAGGAGAGCATAGGGCCCCTTAAATATCAACGAGGCCACGTATGTGTGGAACTATAGGAGATAGATGAGATACTAAACTAAACTTACTGTGGAGAAAGACAGGGAAGCTAGGGAACTTGGGAGAATAAATAACAATGTCTTGAAAGCAATCCACAATACAGAATAGGAGGTGCTGGAGGTCTTAAAGTGCACAAAAGTAGATGAATCTCTGGGACCTGATCAAGTGTATCCCAGGACATTGTGGAAAGCTAGGTAAGAAATTGCGGGCCCCTAGCAGAGATATTTGTATCATTGACAGCCACGGGTGAGGTGCCAGAAGACTGGAGGGTGATCAATGTTGTGCGTTTATTTAGAGAATGTTGCAAGGAAAAGCCAAGGAATTATAGACCAGTGAGTCTGCTGTCAGTGGTGGCTACATGGTTGGAGGGAATTTTGACAGGCAGGATCTAGGTGCATTTGGAAAGGTAAGGACTGATTTAGGGATGGTCAGCATGGTTTTATGCATGGCAAATTGTATCTCACAAACTTGATTGAGTCTTTTGAGGATGTGACCAAGCTGTAGACATTGTCTACATGGACTGTAACAAGGCTTCCAAAAAGGTTCTGCATGATAGACTGGTTAGCAAAGTTAGATGACATGAGACCCAGGGATACAAAATTGGCTTGACAGTAGGCGATAGAGGATGCTGGTAGAGGGTTGTTTTTTTGGACTGGACTCCTGTAACCAGCAGTGTTCCTCAGGGATCAGTGCTGGGCCCACTGTTGTTTGTCATTTATATAAACGATTTGGATGATAATACAGGAAACATAGTCAGTAAGTGTATGCATGAAACCAAAATCAGTGAACAGTGAAGAAGGTTAAGAGTACAACAGGATCTTGATCAGCTGAGCCAATGGGCAGATGGCGTTTAGTTTAGATAAACGCGAAATGTTGCATTTTGGTAAGACAAACTAGGGCAGGACTTACACAGTTAATGGTGGGGCTCTGAGGAGTGTTGTCGAACAGAGAGACCTTGAAAGTGGCATTACAGGCAGACAAGGTGTTGAAGTAGGCATTTGGCATACTTGCCTTCATTGGTCAGAGCATTGGGTATAGTAGTTGGGATGTTATGTTGTGGCTGTAACAGGACATTGGTGAGGCCTCATTTCGAGTACTGCAGACAGTTCGGGTCACCCTGCCATAGGAACAATATTATTAAATTGGAAAGGGTGCAGAAAAGATTTACAAGGATGTTGCCAGCACTGGAGGATTTGAGTTACAAGGAGAGACTGGGAATTTTTTCTCTGGAGCGTAGGAAGCTGAGGGACGACCGTATTAGATGTTTATAAAATAATGAGGGGCATAGATACAGTGAATAACAAAGATCTTTTCTTTCAGATTGGGGAGTTCAAAACTAGAGGACATTGGTTTAAGGTGAGAGGGGAAAGATTTAAAATTGACCTGAGGGGCAACTTTTCCACAGAGGGTGGTGTGCATATGGAATGAACTGTCAAAGGAAGTGATAGAGGCAAGTACATTACAACATTTAAAAGACATTTGGACAGTTACATGAATAGGAAAGTTTTAGAGAGATATGGGCCAAACGCAGGCAAATGGGACTAGTTTAGTTTGGGAAATCTGGTTGGCATGGACAGGTTGGACCAAAGAGTCTGTTTTCATGCTGTGTGACTCTGACTGTCATCCAGTGTTACTAATGCTTCCTGCCCTCTTCACCTCATATTCGCTCGCTGAGGACACCTCAATATTCGTGTAATATTGTTAGCAGCTCTTCTATCCACTTCCATCATACTCAACCTTTTCATCGCAGGAAAACTGGCCCACCACCAGGAACTGATGTCTCTATAGCACCCTAACTGACCTACCTGTAATCCACAAAGTGGTTACATTTGATCTGCAGGACAAACCAAGGCTTAGTGCCCAGTGTCTGGTAGAACCAAATACCTGATTGACAATGTCAACCTCCTGGACTGGAATTGGGCAAACCCCTTGACTGATGGTATCAGTAGCTCCTGACTAAGCGTAGTTTCCCTTCACGCCGGTAAGGACTGCTCCACTTTGACTTGCACAACTGGCCATTTGATTGAAGGACATGCAGCGTGTTTGCTGTGTAAACTGCTGGCGCATGCTGTCCAAGTGACAGTGACGTAGCATAAAGCCACCCAGTGGCATGTCCGTTTCCTTCACCGTTCAGTGCTCCCCACCATAATAAGTTGCCTTGCCTCTTGCTCTGTATCAAAAAGCAGTGCAAGCCACTGAAGCTGACAGTTATAATGGAGCCCTAAAAAAGCAATGTGAGCCCCAAAGAGGTTGGAAGCCCATAAGTTAGTGCTGAAATTAGAGAGTATACACTAAGGAGCAGAGTGAAGGAGACAGACAATTTGTGTTTAACTTGGAAGCTGCCAGTGAGTGAGCATTACGAAAGCAAGCTGAGAGCCAAAAGATGCATGAGATATGTATGTGTCGCTGCGTGGAAATCTGGAGCTCACTGTCTGGTAGAAACAGAAACCCTCATCATTTAAATCATAAATTGGAAGCACATTTGAAACTACAAAACTACAGACCAAGAGCTGGAAAATGGAATTGGGCTGGATATCTTCTTTTCAGCCAGAGTAGATGCAGTGGGTCGAATGGCATCATTCCATTCTGTAAATTTCTATAATTGACTCAATATGTTCCACATTTTGATGCATTTATTTCATATTTAATCATATTGGCTATATGTATAATGTGCCCTTTCATTGTCACATTTGAACATCCCTGTGCTAAATACATGAAAATCAAGTGACAATATGATTTGTAAAGCCACGTATACAAGGAAGCATTACTCTACTGGTAGTATTACAATAATTTAGTATTCAATGTAGTTAAAGGAAGTATTATCCTTAATTTATTCTGATCAGACACCAGCGATATCAGGATATGCAACTGAAATTCCTGGTCGTAGTTGAAGGATCCTACACAGAATCCTTAATCACTTTTCTAATGAACTCGTCACATATAGTCGCACAAGAGGGTGTACAAAGAGGGTTACCACCCACACTGCTTTGCCCTGTGGCCTTCCCCGGAGCAGCTTTACAGTTGCTTCAGGTAAGTTTCTGTTCCGTAAACTGAAAAATGCTTTAAATGTCTGAACCAAACAACTGTAAAGTCATCTGTCAAAACACGTTTGGAAAAATTATACTTCACTTGGTAAGAAAAGCTAATTTTAAATCTAGGATTTCCTTTGAGGTAAAATCTGAGGTAAAACGTACATAGATATTATCATCTTGCTTTGATTCTAGTTTAAAAACTGAAATATAGTTTGCTGTCAGCTCTTGTTTTGAAATCTACAAAGGGATATAGATTGGCCTTCTGTTAATGGGAGATGAGGACGGGCATGTTTGAGGGGTAGCAAGTCAGGAAATGCAAGAATGTGGTGTTCCTGTGTTTTCAAAGACTGTGCTGCAGATGGGGGGAGAAAAGGTTGTTTTTGTGGGTTACAGGAGATAGCCCCCAGTATCTGGGATACAGTGGGGCTAGTTTGGGCTGGGGTTGGAGAGTAATTTGATGGGAAGACTGGGAAGCCTTGTGGGAAGTGGTGAGTGAGGTTGGCCAATCATAGCAGAAAACCTGCTTGCATGCTACTCCCGGCCCATGGACAACCTGTATGAATCACTTGCTACTAATTTTTCTTTGTTTACTTTATCAGTCATGAAATTTAAATCACTGCCAAAATCTCAAGAATTGTGGTTATACTTGCGTATTACAGTTTAGGATTAGAGCTGGTTATTTGGATTTCCCAATGTCCCAGCCTTTTGAAGGGAAGCGGGTATTTTCACAGTGGTTAGGGCCAGAAATTTTGCAAATTTGATAGCTTAATCCCTTCCTCACTCATTGGGAGGTTTGAACATGCCTATTTGACTTGCCCTCCCTAAATCTGCAAGAGTACTCAAATTTATTCCTTATTTGCTCCAATACTATAGTATTGGGTTTAAATATCATGTGAAACCTACATGGTAAACCTTATGAAAACATTCCAGAATGTTTAATGTATATAACGTATCACAATTAATGCCAGAACTTTTCAATTTTTCTCCTCTTGTAGGTTTCTAATACTTGTGGAAAAGTTCAGGGTTGCCATGGTCCTTTAGACTCTTACAGCTTGGAGATCACAGGTCCCATTCTTCCACACTCTATGGACTATATCAATCATATTCTGCAGTGCAACGAGTATGGTGTAACATTGAACGTTGTTAATGTCCAGGAGTGCACCGCTGTCTTCAATGTTCATTTATCTAGTTAGTCAAAATCGAAACACTATACATTTGATGTCACCACTATATCAGAAGTAGTTATACTGTTGTGAATCTCCAGCAAACAGTTCTGCATTTCTTCTGAACTCAAATCATTGCTCAATGTCCAAGCTACTCTCTCAAAGCTGAGGGAATTGTAACAGAAAATAAGTATATTTTTAAAAAAGTGTTCATACCCACAATTTAACTGTTGTAACAATCTTACAGGTGTAGATTTGTCATGCAAGTAAGCTTGGCTTTGAAGAATTTATTTTAACATTTCCATTTCAGGCAAGAATTGTCTCTTGTGTCCTTAGCAGCCATTTCATTCATTGATACTCAATTATTTTGTGAACATTAACTACACTATTATTGTTAAAGTACATTTTTCTGTATCTGGCATAATACTGATCAATGTTGTGAATATATATGTATATATTCCTTTTATATCTAATTTGATTATGGCAATATAATGTACTGAGTTATATTTATATTGTGTATTAACCATTGACTAACAGGGAAAAAAACGGTATTAGCAAAGTCTGGGTGCAGTGCAGGGAATCTTACTATTTGCAATTATATTGCATTAAGTTAACTGTTACATATTTGGAGATTAAAAATAAATGTTATCTATATTTGGTGCACGATAATCTTAAATGATATCAGTTGTAATAAACAAATATTAATTGTATATCTTTAATGCTGTAGTGCACAATAATTTTGAGTCAGTGTAATTGGTAACAGTTTTTAATAAGCTACAAATTTGGTCCATGACAAACATTGCAACTTGCAAATTATTTAATTGTCTTGTCAATTAAATGTACATATATAAGACATATTGTTTAATTGACTAATTATTTCATACTGACACAGTTTGTTGTTATATATTCAGGTTGCAAGTTCTTTTCCAAATTTAGAAAAGCACTGAAAAATTAAAATAACTATTGTCACAACCTTAAAATTATTACTGTGAGTGGAGTATTTGCAGTTTCAGTTTCTTCAGTTTCAGAACTAAAGAAAGGTCCTGACCCAAAACATCACTTTCCTACTCCCCTGATGCTGCCTGACCTGCTGTGTTCCTCCAGCTCCACACAGTGTTGTCTCTGACTCCAGCATCTGCAGTTCTTGCTATCTGAGTATTTGCAGTTATTGTAATTTTTATTTTATTGAAGAACCACAGTTTTATTTTCTTTCATTGGATGTGTGTGTCAGTGTCCGGACAGCATTTGTAGCCTGTCCCTAATTGTCTCTTGAATTGAGTGGCTTCAGAGACACTTCAGAGACAGCCAACCATATTACTGTTAATCTGACATTAAATATTGGTCAAAAGACTTTAATGAAGGCAATTTGCCCAACTACTGAATCTGATAAGTTTTTACAACAATCAATTGATGTTTCATGGCACCAGTACTGACACTAGCTTTATATTCCAGATTTCTTAACTGAAATGAAATTCCGCCAGGTGGCATGATGAGATTGAAATCCATGCTTCTAAAGCATTAATCTGATCCTCTTGATTACTAGTCCACGAACATTACCACTCCAGCACCAACTAGTTCAGAACATCACCTGGGTTGAAAATGGTAGAAGAGAATTTGTGAACATATAAGTGGTGTTCATTAGATGATCTTTTGTTTGAAAGATATGTACAGAGAGGGAGGGGGAGGGGGAAGAGTTTTAATGGCACTGTGATAGCATCCTTGGAAGGGTCAGAGATTTAGATTTTAGACCCGCACCAGAACTTGTTGACCATATTAGATGCAATTGTAATATTGATTATCAGCCCGTAAGTGCTCTCAATATGCCTGATGGCAGAAGCAGCAGAGTCTTATGGTCTGGGAACCTGCACAAGACACTGTAGTACTTTGCTCATAAGAGAGTGGACCAATCCAATGGAAGTCAGTAATCCAAGCCTCTGAAATGAGGATTGTAGAAATGATAGATAAAAATTGTAGGAGAAAGGGAACATGTAATTTCTTTTTTTTTGAGGTTGTGGAAAAGAGGAATTTAGAGAAGGAAAAACTGCAATAGTTTTTTTTTATTTCAGATGTTTCAACACATAATATAGTGTATATGAAGATTGAAAGAAGGTAGAAGTATTGACACAGCACCTGTAACATATTTTTCCAAGGCAATTCACAGGAAGTTATAAAACAAAATGACCCTGACACCAAGCCACACTATTAAAACTATTGACTAAGAGCCATGTCAAAGAGCTAGTTTTTAAGACAGATACAACTGCACAACATGACTGCCAACTCTGGCTCAATTACAATTGAAATGCACGAAAGGCCAAAATTAGAAAAGTGCAGATATCTCCCAACAGTTGAAAGGCTGGAGGAGATTACAGAGATAAGGAGGAGCAGGCCATGTAATGATTTGAAAACAAGATTAGAATTTTAAAATCATGATGCTGTTTGACCTGGAGCCTGTTGGTCAACAAGCACGGAACTGGTGTGTATAGCACGGGCAGCAAGAGTTTTAGATGTCATCACATTTATGGAGGACAGAACATGGGGAGACCAATCAGGAGTGCATTGGAATAGTCAAGTCAAAAGGCTGAATGAGGGCTTAAGCAGCAGACATGTTGAGACAGGGTGAAGCCAAGTGATGTTATGGAGGCGGTAATAAATTGTTTCAGTGCTGGTGTGAGAATGGCATTGGACGTTCACCTGAAGATCAACTGTAAGAGCAATGTTGCGAATAGATTTGTTTATTCTAGTCTGTTGCCAGAGCAGGGAATGGACTCACTAACAGTGTTTGTAGCAGGGACCAAAAACAAGGCCTTGGTCTTTCCTGTATTTATTGGGAAGAAATTGCTATTCAGATAAGTAGTCTGATAATTTAGCAAACATGGAGTTGAAAGGAATGGCAAGGTAGAACTGGGTGACATCAGTGCATGTCTGAAAACTAATGTTGTATATTGTCACTGTAACAGCATATTGATGGAAAATATGAGATTAAGGATTGTTTCTTGTGGGTACCTGAGGTAGCACTGTAGGAGCAAGAAGAGGAGCCGTGGTAAATGGTACCGTCAATACGATTAGATAGATAAGCATGGAACTAGATGAGAATAGTTCCAGCTATTTGGAAGATACTGGACAGATGGTGGATTCAGAAGATCAATTGTCTTAATATGGAGGTTGAATGTCTCAAACTTGCTGCACAATTCATGACACCCTATACTGTTATGTAAGCAGTCATTTGGTGTCAGCAACAAAGCACAGGCAAGCAGAGAAGTTATGTTAATTTGATTAATTAGCACTGATCACACCACACTTGGTACTGTAAATATTTATGCTGTTAATATTAGAAAAATAAGAGGCATTCGAAAAAGTGGTAAAAATTACAAGATGAAACCAAACTGTGAGAATTCATCTGTTAGCAAAGAATGAATAGGTTAGAACTTTTTACTTTAGAAACGAGAAAGCTCAGGTAACCTATTAGTTTTTTTTTAAATTATGAAGGTATTTGATAGTGTCAATGTGGAGATGTACCCACTTGTGGGGTGTGTTCTAAATGTAGGGAACATAAATTTAAGATTTATGGTGTGGTGGCTTAGTGGTTAGCGCTGTTGTCTCACAGCACCAGGGACCTGGGTTCCTAGGGCAACTGTCTGCGTGGAGTTTGTACATTTTCCCTATGTCTGTTTTGGTTTCATCTGGGTGCTCCAGTTTCCTCCCACAGTCCAAAGATGTGCACATTAGGTGCATTGGCCATGGTAAATTGCCCCATAGTGTCCAGGGATGTGCAGGTTGAGTGGATTAGTCATGGGAAATGCAGGATTACAGGGATAGGGTAGGGGGCACAGGTCTGGTTGGGATGATCTTCAGAGGGTTGGCGCGGACTTGATGGTTCAAATAGCCTGCTTCCACACTGTAGGGATTCTATTTTCAGATTGTAGTGAATTCAGAAGGAACTTTATATTCTGCTGCCAAATGAACTGTTTCAAATGATTACCATAATTTAATTGAAGAGGATGTTAGCTAAATACATAAAAGTAGGATAAGTTGAAGCAATGTCGCAAGGAGGCTTGTGTTGGAATGAACACCAGTGGAGAGCTATTGGGCAGACAACCTGATTTGATAATGTAAATTCTTTGTGAGATTATTGATTAATGACTGTTGTTTGAAAATGTTTATTTAAGAGATAAATGTTGACTGAGGAAAATGGGGTTGCATAGTTTGAATTGTCTACACCAGAACTGTGGTTAGGACCAGTGTTCTCATGAAGCACATAACTAGCAAAATCGAAAGGGTTTTAAACCAAATATTGGAGACTGAAACAAATGTGGAAAAATACAATATATCAAAGAGTAGGGACAAGGTAAGAGGGAAAATAGGTACAAAGTGGAAAAAAAAACTTAAATGCACAATCAATCAAGACTAGCTGCTACAAAGACAATAACAAGTCAAAACTAAAGACTCTATATTTGAATGCAAGTAGCATTCATAAAGTAAATGAATTGATAGCACACGTTGAAGTAAATAAATATGATCTGATAACCATTACAGAGACATGCCTTCAAGATGACAAGGATAGGGTCATGAATATTGAGGGATAAATGGTATTTAAGAAAAATAGAAAGTTAGGTGAAGGTGATAGGATAGAACAATTGATCATGGGTGGCACTTGTGCAATTGTTTGAGATGATCTTGGTTCAGGAGATCAGGATACAGGATCAGTTTGGCTGGAGATGAGGAATACTAGAGTAAAAGAAGTCATGAGTGGAAGTGGGCTACAGGACCATAACTAACTGCATTGTGGGAAAAATAATAAAATTAATATTGGCTGCTTTTTTAAAAGGGATGGCAATAATCATGGATGATTTTAATCTGCATATAAACTGGAATAATCAGATTGACGGTACCCTGAATGAGCAATTCATGGAATAGTTTTGAGAGCGTCTTAGAGTAGGTTACATTACACACAGTAATACGTTATGTGACTGAATTAATTAATAGCCTAAGAGTTAAAATATTCCTAGTGTTACAACTCGGAGTCAAACAGCCAAACCAAATCAGCCTTTCTATCTCTGTATTCATAACTCAGTAAAATTAAACCATTGAAGACTCCTAAATAGTCACTCTAATGGTTCCTAATTAGACATTTCAATATCTTTATAATTTCCAGACTACCTGTTTTGTATCTTAAACAAAGACTTCATAAGGAGTTAAGTACACTGACTTTAGCAGAGAAAAAATTAACCATGGTAATCTAATGAATATCTTTGCTTTAAACTCAAAACGTTTATTTTCAGTCTCCATTCACAGAAAAGGCAGATAAACACAGTTAAGGGATAAATAACAAAACTGGCCAGATTACTCAAATAGCTCTCATGTGTTGTTTTGCAGGCATAAATCTGGACTCCATGGCTGTTTTTTTTTTCCCTGAAACGTTGATCAGAGTCATCATCTCAGTTCACTCAGGCAAAACCAGCAATACTTCTAGCTGACCTTTCCACTCTTTGGGCTTCCAGAAGTTGGTGTATCATATTAGGCAGGGAGATTTTAAATCTTCATGCTGTCTCAGCAGTAGCTCTGAACAATCCCTCAGAAAACATAGTTTTAAAAAAAAACTTGAATTCTGGTTCTGCCCTGATAGACTGGTCGACTCTTCTCAAGGCCTCAATTACCATTCAACAACTGCCGTCTGCTTGAACATAGGGTCTCTTCTAGACTTGCTGGAACAAATTTCTGGGTGTAACTTCATTAATAACCAACTTCTGCTATCTATTTAAACACAATACTTTTCCTAGGATCCCTGTGTCTGTTAGATCATTTTTTCATGAAGTCTCAGCCTGCAGTTAGCCTCCAGACCTGGCCTCATAAACA